TACACACCCGAAAGTGTTTTCTTTTTCACTCATCTATGGGATCACTAGGGTTCCGATTAGGGTTTTCAAGGTCACTGCCTGTCTTCCTGCTGAGAATGGGGATTTTGCCTCTTTCTCACTCTCTTTCCCCTTTTGACTGGCTTTCTTTTTTGACTGGCTAGAGGAAATATGCTATTCATCTCCAAACTTCTCTGCTACTTGTAGGGCTACCTGTTTCTCAGCAGCAGTTAGGGTTTGATTTAAGAGTATACTCTCCTTCCAGGAGAGTTAAATGGTTGGATTAGATCCTGGAAGGTCTCTATATATGGGTGAAGTTGGGGGTTGCCCAAAGCAAACTTCAGGATGTGAGGTTATACCAGGTTACATCCACGCTAGACTTAAGGGGAGTGCAGGGTTGAAGATGGGTTATTGCCCATCTAGAAAAGAGAGAAGGAGCTTCTCTGAGAAAACACCAAATGGCAGATGACAATGTGGATAGGGGATGAGGCCCCAGGGGCCCTGGGATGGGGAACTGCAGTGGCTTCCTTGGAGGCTTTAGCAGTGGCATCCAGGGCTGGGGTTGCAGTCGTGGATGGGGCTGGGGTCGAGGCTGCAGAGCTCTCAAAGGCAAAGCGGATGATAAGGAGAGGCTGCCCCCCAATACCAAGCTGGGCCGCCTGGTCAAGGACGTCAAGATCAAGTCCCTGGAAGAGATCCATCTCTTCTCCCTACCCATCAAGGAAACTGAGGTCACTGACTTTCTCCTGGAGCCTCTCTCAAGGATGAGGTTTTGAAGACTATGCTGGTGCAGAAGCAGATCCATGCCGGCCAGCACACCAGGTTCAAGGCATTTGTTGCCATAAGGGACTACAATGGCCATGTCGGTCTGGGTATTAAGTGCACCAAGAAGGTGGCCACTGCCATCTTCAGAGCTATCATCCTGTCCAAGCTTTCCATTGTCCCCGTGTGCAAAGGCTACTGGGGGAACAAAATTGGCCAGGCCCACACCATCCCTTGCAAGGTGACAGGCCGCTGCAGCTGTGTGCTTGTGTGCCTCATCCCTGCATCCAGAGGCACTGGCACTGTCTCAGCCCCTGTGTCCAGGAAGATGCTCACCATGGCTGGAATTGATGATCGCTACACTTCAGCCAGGGGCTGCACTGCCACCCTGGGCAACCTCACGAATGCCACCTTTGATGCCATCTCTAAGACCTACAGCTACCTGACCCCCAACCTCTGGAAGGAAACTGTATTCACCAAGTCTCCCTATCAGGAATTCACTGACCACCTCATCAAGACCCACTCCAGAGTCTCAGTGCAGAAGACCCAGGCTCCAGCTACGGCTACAACATAGGGTTTTTATACAAGAAAAATAAAGTGAATTAAGCCTGAAAGAAAGAAAAAAGAAAAGAGGGGAGGAGAGAAGGTGTCCCTTAGTCTTCTTCCTTCTTTTGGAGTGACCCAGAGTGGAGAAAAAGAGAGAAGGTGCCCCACTTCTCCTCTTTCCTCCCATCTCCTCAGGGTCCTAGAAACCATCATAGATGCCAACCATGAATAGAGGCATGATCTTCACCCACGGATCTAGAGGAGCTAGTCAGCAGTAGTAGTCATGTTTACCTGTACAAACTCCCAGCTCTCCATCCTGCTGGTTTCCCAGACCCACATGGCCTATAAGGCTCCCAGGGTACCCCAGGGGCCCAGGAGAGATTGTACAGTAGTTGAATTTGCATGAGACCCTTTAATGGAGGGAGTGACTTAACTCTAGCTGTATATCCTCTTACTACCACTTGGCCAAAGTTATGAATTCCTAGAGAATGGGACTGATTGACTTCTAAACATAGGAAACCTTTCTTGCTTAGATGCCAATGTAGCTGGATGCAAAACAGATATCTCAAAAGAATGTAAGAATTGAATGGCTGTTCTCCCTCTGATGGGGTTAACACTAAAATTAAAATCTGTCTTGCCAGGGTGGCTTCCTCCCCAGCTGCTGAAAGGGGAGATTTTTCTGCTTACAAGCAGGGCATGGGGCCTGGTTACTGAGAGAAGGATGTAAGAGGGAAAGGAATCAGGGAACCAGAGGTTCTGAGCAAAAGGCTGACAAGGCCCCCCATGGAGAAAAATCCCATCTCACTGGGTGGCACTGGAGTGCTTGAAATGTTAGAAAAAAAAAGCTGACTCCAAATTCTTTCCAAGCAGAGGTTAGAAAGAGAAGTTTGGAGCTTAACAGGCTGTCCCCACAATATGCCTCCTAGCAGGAAAAAAATAATTTATCCTATAGAGGAACTGCTTAAATTCATGGGCGGTGCTGAGCATTTACATTTAAAAAAAAAAAACAAACCCCAAATGGAGAAAAGGATATTCACTCAGAGAAATATCTTCACGTACAGTGCCATGAATACCTACAATTGTGGGGACAAAAAGACCCTTACTAGGTGAATTTTTTTTTTTTTTTTTTTTT